TGTGTGTTCCACATGGCATGCAATCGAAGGCCCGCCCGGCAAGCACTGGTTCACGATGTCCTTCACGATTTGGGTATCCATTTTTGGACCGTCTTTTTCAGGGAAGGCAAACCTCTCTTGGTACCATAAACTAATACCCGATTGGTAAGCGGCTGGTTCCCCAGCACACAGAATACACAATCACCAACCATGCGCCTTAGCTAGTAGCAAGCTAGTGTTTGGCGTAGCTAGCTTGCACGCCATGGCATCATCAAAGAAGGAGGTTTGAGTGCCCTTACTGCAATAAAAATTTCAAATCTGTGGGATATCAGCAATCCACATGAAACAGAACAACGCTGCCACGAACTGATGCAGAAAGCCCTTGGTTTTGGACCTTGCTTTCAATCTTTAGGTGCTAGACAACAAGATCAAGGGCCAGAGCTGATCAGCTTGGTCTCACTGACACGGGTCGGCCCGCAAAAGTCAACCAAGAAAGGCGAGCAAGAGGACAAATTCCAGGGGCAGCCATTTTCCACAAGTGATTGCAGACGAGGATGCCCATGCCAGGGCCTCACTCCAAGGTAGTGGTGATTCCAAAGAAGACACAGACCATCGGAATCCTGCAGCAAATCCTCGATTCGGCAACAAAAAGGGTGGCGATGGGGAAGGAAATGGGGGGCTAGATGAGGATGGTGATTTCCCTACAAACATTGATCGTTTCAACGCGGATTCGGATAGTGGGCCTACCAGTGAGGACAGTGAGCTCAGTTTGGAAGGGTCAGTTGCCACATTGCAAGGTGACAACGAAGAGGACTTGTATGATACCGGCCCCCCAGACGAAAGCTACATAAACGCATTCAGAGGCTACTGTGTCAAGGCAAATAAATTACCCGAGCTAACCTATTCGGAGAAGCGAGGGGCCAAACTAATGGATATCCTCCGTAGGACAAGGACACCTCTGGATACCTATGATGAAGTACTTGCTTGGCATTTGGAGGAAACTGGGTCGATAATGGACAACGAAAAGCTTGGAAAGAATCCAGACTACCTCAGCAGGAAAAACTGCTCCGAATTCTTAAGAAAAGGTACAACATGAGCGACAAGTTACCTTTTGAAAAGGAGATAGTCATTCCTCATTGCAATGCCCGGACCAAAGTCATTTGCTTCAGTGCTCGGAATTGTGTGGAGCAATTGCTTACCGATCCACGCCCCACAGATGAGGATTTCTGCCCTTTTTCAATAGATGATCCGATGGCTCCCACCACCTGAAAAAGGCGACCTATGTGGGTGAGTTGAAAACGGGCGAGGCATACAGAAACGACTATAATGAATACGTGGAAGACCCACAGAATGAGATAGGCATTGGGGTCCAGTTCTACATTGATGGGGCAGTTACGGGCCAGTTTTACAACCTTTCAATCACCGCTTTTAAGATGTCATTATCCTGTTTCACCCTTGACTATCGAAAGAAGGATCAAGCCTGGACGATTGTTGGCTTTGTGGTTAACTATTGGGAAGGTAAATCCAGAGGGAAGAAGATGTTTGCGGATTCTGGTCATGACCAAGCACTTGAGGATTTGGATGGTATGTTTGTGGGTAGGGAAGGAGAAACCTCCAAAAAAGTTACAAAAGCGCAAGACTTCCATGACCAAATTGAAACCATCTTGAGCAACTACATTCCCTTGGAGACGAATGGGATGGTATGGGACCTTCTTTACCGAGGAAAGCTCTACCAACACAAGACGCTGGTGTTCTGGACTGCAATGGTGAGGGCTGACACGGATGAGGCAGAACTGCTTTGTGGGAAGTACAGATCCCGATTCCAATCACTGCACGCATTCTTGGAAGAAATTACGTCACGGATCGGGATCGTGCTGGTTGGCGTTTGGTACCTGCACGCATGTCGATTCTAGCACTACCTAAAAATGCCCTTCTTAGATGACTCTTTGGACCATGATTATGTTGTTTCCCACAATACGGACATCTAATGCTTGTAGTTCCCTGTAGCCTAAGCACAATTGGAGTCCCATAGAACACCTGCAAGTACTCCCTCATCTGCTCCAAGCACATGGGAACACAATCGGCAATAGGAACAGGAATAGGACTTGCGTCCGCCATGGTTGACTCTTTCTCTACCATCTTTTTACTTTGAAATAATCAGCAGTTTCTAATATCCGGAATGAACAACCAGACTACTAAAATGTGAGTGATTTATCCTATACAGTTAAGATTACTCCATGCCTACAACGACCTTCCTCATCTTTCTAGCTGTCTTTTTAACCATGTGTTTCTTCTTGTCCTTGAGGATAAGGTAAGCTGTCATGGTATGAAGCTGACGGAGCTTGCACCACCCGCTAAGATTGTCGTAAATATCATCGTGTTCCTTGTCAGTGGCTTCCTGGTTCATCAGGAGAAATCCGTACAGCAGATTGAACCTATTGAAAGTTTCAACTACGTACGCGCCTCCAAAGACAGCAGGTCTTTTCAAAATCTCTTTGAGCACCATGGTGCTGTCATGGCCGGGCCCCTCCACTTCAAAGTAGCCATGGCCTATGATTGGAACTGATGTAGGCATGTTGAGGGATGTGAGAAATGCTGAAAGTGCGAGATTGTGAGAAGGGAGCGATATTTTCAAATGAACGGATACAAATGAGAATCTCTTGGAACCTCCAAGAATCCGCGATGTATTAATCTTGCCAGGTTGCTGGTCGTGCATCTTGATGCTTCTCACAGGATCTCACCAGTTAGTTTCAATCTTGCCAAGTTGTCATTAGGTTGACACTGGACCTCTGTGGAAATGTAATACCCTGTAACCACGACTGCCTCAGTCCTGTAAATCTTCTATACCAGTATTGACTGACGACTGATCCCATATTTTCGTCTCCTAAAATTAGGAGACGATCGAAAAACGTCTCCTAAATTAGGGATAGGAGACAATTTTCGTCTCCTAAATTTTCGTCTCCTAAATTTTCGTCTCCTAAATCTTTTGGATCGTCTCTTAAATCTTTTGGATCGTCTCCTAAGTCTCGATCGTCTCCTAAATCTTCCGATCGTCTCCTAAATCTTCCGATCGTCTCCTAAATTTTCCGATCGTCTCCTAAATCTTTCGGATCGTCTCCTAAATCTTTACATGCAACCACACCAGCAGCAACAACAACAACAACAACAACAACACAAGGCAACAATAGCAGTCAACACTATGGTTACCACTCTAGCTAGTCTTCTTTTTAGCTTTCCTCATGTTTGATTTCCCTCTTGTTTCCAGAGTGCGGTAGAACTTATCAGTTTGAGTTTGTTGATAGATGTGGTCGCGAAATACTTTCAAAGGAAAGGCATCATATTCTTCTCGCAAACACCATAGCTCCGATGGTTGAAGTGTTTCGTGTAGACCACTTTTGATGTCTTCTTTCAGCTTTGCTTGAGCTGGTGAACCATCCCATTCCGGGTAGCCTTTAGCACTATGTGTGTGCACTGTGTTGTTGGCTTTAAACTCATTGAAATCATCCAAATCATCATTTGCATGCCCTTTATCTCTTAGTACAATCTTTCGAAGGCTGGATAATCTAGTCGAAAAATTCTTGTATCCATGCTCAGCAAGCTCAGGGTATGTGCTGAATATTTCTCTTGTTGGAAACGATTTGTCAGGTTTGTCAGGGATAGTCCCATCAGCAATCCTTTTGTACAGATTTTCTCGTGCTTTGCTCTTTTTCCAGAGCTCATCTGGATCCTCTAGGGCCCTCTGCAATTCCTCTACTGGCACTTCCGTATCTTCAGGCGCAGGTGCTTTCTTCTTTCTCCCTCGTGCCATGGTGGGTGATTGATTGATTGACCAGCAACAAATTTATTGTCTTGCTCCAGGCTGCTGCAAATGGAGAGTCGAGTCACGGAAGTGAAGTTTCCGGTTTGGATTCATGTTTCAACTACCGTACTAGTGATTTAGTCAAACCCAGGCAACACCCTGATCTGAAGTTTCGACCATCACGGTCGCCAGTAGATTAATTAAGCAGGTGTCTCTCTAGCTAGTGTGTTGTTTATGCTAGCTTACTATAGGATAACCCTACTACTAGGGACTCTAATGGGAGTCCATGCTTTCTCATTTCGATTCTTTCATATTGTGCTTATTCATGAGGTTGCTCATGTTTTTCTCCTTCAGGTTGGCATTGCCACCAAGGTCATACTTGTCTGTGAGGAACAAGGCCAAACGTAAATCCTCCACTTTCAAGGTAACCTTTTTACGGTGATGCATACAGTGAACAGCCTTGCCAAAGTACTCAACCAGATGATCTTCTGCCACCTCGTGAAGGGTTTCAATTGCAGTTTTGGTCCAACGAAAAGATTGCTTAGCTCCAGTCTTAGGGTCTTTCATATCAAGATCATTGGTGATGTCTCTAATAACACGGTACATTGGAGCCTTTGGTACCAACTTGCCTACACCTTTCTGGTACTTCTGAATCTCAAGTATCATTTTGGCCTTACGACGGCCTCCTCCACTACCATTGGTGGAACCTTGGGATCCAGTAGGGGACCCACCACGGCTTCCAATGTGGGTATCTCCACGTTTCTTCTTTGGTGTCTTCTTTGCTGTTTGCTTGGTACGGGCCATGGTGGATAGGATACTTGACTATGCTAGCAATATAATCTTCAATGGCAAGATCAATGCACTAAAAGAAGACTTTCGTTGAGTCGAGTGCAGTGAAGTGACACTCTCCATGCAATAAGTCAACCAACCAACACTCTCCACGCTGTCCACACTTATTCCCACGCAGCACCTGCCTGGGAGTATCCACGCCCACAATAGCAACTTGGATCCTTCCACGCCACACATCATGATTCGATTCATTTCCACGCCACACATCATGATTCAATTCATTTCGATTCCATTCAATTCGATTCCTGGAACAGCAGCCTCTACCCCTATCCCCAGTACTACCATGCAGTCAGTGCCTGGAGCCTCCAAGAGCAAAACACTTCTTTTCGAGATATCGTCAAGCCAGCCTCATCATGATACTAGCTAGTACGGATACTAGCTAGTAGTCGTAGCTACTGCGCAGGTCTGCTAGCTAGCTAGCTAACGAGCCAGCTAGCAACCTAGGACTCTTCTTAGGAGGCAAGGTTTGAAACTGGCATATACATAGGAGTGGCGGCTGCATGGCTGGTTATGGTCCTCTAGCTAGCTAGCTAACGAGCCAGCTAGCAACCTAGGACTCTTCTTAGGAGGCAAGGTTTGAAACTGGCATACATAGGAGTGGCGGCTGCATGCCAAGCCACGGGGAAATAGAACTGCGCGCGAATTTGGCTGTCATGCTGCTCATCAGGCCTTCGAATTTTAAAATTTGACTGGAGGGCTTGGTTTATTGGCTCCCTCGATTCAATGCTCCATCATGCATTCTCTCCTCCTCCCTCCATGCAGGTGGCTAGCTAGTGGTCATCATTATTTGGATTGTATATCGACTAGGCTCGTCTTGAACGTGTCCTTGTGTGATGATCCATCATCTCCTGTTACTATCTCCATTATCTTCCTTGCTACTACATCGTCCAACTCCACCATGGATTCCTGTTGTTCCCATGAAGTCTACACGTCCAGAGAATGTTTGCTCTATTATATCTCAAGTCCGAGTGTCCAAGGTGAAGCAGGCCCTTAGGGATGTCCATTCCAAGTCTATTCTCCACCAAAACTCCTTCTATTTCCGCAAGATCTACAAGCAGAAAAAGATTGAGAGCTTACCCAAGTTGGATGTGTGTACCCACAATAAAGCCTACTGCTCCTTTGGGCAGTCTCTTGAACCAGCTGAACCAGCCAAGAAGAAACTAAAACAGCGACCCAGTCCTGACCTTTGTCCATGCTGGGGAACTAGATACCAAGCCTCCCTATCTACCTTCTGAATCGATTTTACTCAATGTCAACAATCCTTTGGATTTAAGTCCATTCACTGGAATGAATGGATGCCACCATCCTCAGGTGTGTACTCTTGTTCCCCGTGATTTCATGGCCACCACTTGGGGAAAGCAAGATGACCTTGGTAAGACCTATACTGCTTGGAATGCTGCTGTTGAGTCAACACCAAGAAAATCCAACAAAAAGCTGGGTGAGGCCAAGCATCGAAGGCTGGTATTTGAAGACAACAACAACAAATATCCTATCATTGAAAGCAAGAGCCTCCAAGCTAGAGGAACCTCAGTTTCATTGTCCTCACAAAGTTGAATCCACCATATCTGGAGTATCAAGAAACACCTATCCAAGATCCGGCATGCTTATCAGTCTTATGTGGACACAGATCATCTAGTGGGGTTTCGCATGCTACAAGATCTTTGTGATCTAGGTTCCTTATCCCTTGCCCCAGATGTTACTGTGAAGGATACATTTCCTTCCATTGCCTTTGCCAGAAACAGCTATGTGAGTCTTCATCATGATGAAGATTCCTCTGTTTGTATACTTTCTATTATTGCTCCAGGTGTGTTCAAGAAGAATTCAGATATCCTTGTGTACTTCACGTTCCCAACTATTGGAAGGACTGTGGGTCTTCGGAATGGTGATGTGCTGATTTTCAATCCCCTCATCATTCATGGTATGTCATCCAGAGTGGATCCATCCAAGGGTGTCATTTGTATTGCTCAGTATTTCAAAAGGAAGATTCTTGGAGGCAATGACAAGACTGTGGATGCCGACTCTATTAGAAACCGACACTTGTACTAGCTAGAATAACTACATATAGTTTTAGACTCTAGCTAGCTGATGAACTAGCTAGCTAGAGCTATCCATAACGTTCTACTAGTAGCAAACATGTACTCCTATTTAGAGGAAAGGTTTGTTAGACAGTCATCCATGGAATAGCATATTCTATTAGAGTTATGGTTTAGGACATACCAGATCCACAGGATGAAACCACGAACCACTCAACTGAACACGATAAAACCCCACACCGTGAACTCGTTACATGTAGTTGACATGCAACATGGCCTATGTGCCACGAAAGATACGCAACGAAACCACTCGCAACACGATGCGAAACCACTCAACACGATGCGAAACCACTCAACACGATGAACCATGTTATAGTTCTTGACACTCATAACCTAAGAATCGTGGACAATCAAAAGCTTCTTTCTTCAACACCATGTCTACTGCTACCAAACCCAACATGGTAGGCAATGATTTGTCGGAACGTCAGAACACCAAGGAGTATTGGTCAAGTGAGATCCGCACTTTGGGAATTCAACTCAATCCTGAAGAATGGACCTATGCTAATAAACTCAACCATCCTGGTACACTTATTGCCAATTATCATAGTTGGCACACCAAGGGTAGAGCACCTACAGAAGAGGAAATCGCAGAAATCTTCTTGCCCCTCAAGGACAAACAGTTCAACAAGATTCTTCCATGCAAACAGAATAACTGGCAAATGGCCCCTTCATCTTTGAAAGCCAATCCCAACAAAACTATTGTTGAGATTCTACGCAACCCTTACCAGCAGGAGCTAGTCAAATGGAAGAATGATGATGCCAAAGGCAAAATGGCACAATGGGATACTGTGCTTCTATACACAGGACAATCCTTCATGTTCCACCAAGTCTACAAGGCAAAGCATCCTGAACTGACCAAAGTGGAGTCACTCCGTGCATCAATGAAGTTATCCCGAGAAATCTGCAAACAGCATGGAGATGTTAAACATCATATCCATCACGTGTGGTGCCCAGAGTTTGTCAAAACCAAATTGAGGCCAAAGGACTTTGCAAAATGGGATACAGCTAGATTGGAACGTTTGAAGGAGGAGAATAACAAGAAACAAACTGCTCGTAAGCGAAAGAATGAAAACCAAGAAAAGATTCGGAGGGCCAAGAAGCCTTATCTCAACAACCCAGCTCCCCTCCCTGCATCAAAGCCCAAGCCTGCTCCACCTTCAGTTACAACCAATGCTCAAGCTCCAGTTCTAGCTTGTGCTATCAAGCCTGTGCCACCTGGATATGGTTATAGCTCTGACACAGATGATGAAGTGGTTGAGCATTTCTCAGAGGAAGAAGAAGATGAGTCTTTCACAGAGAATGAAGGAGGAGTCACTGTTGATGTATCTCTTGAGGAATTCAACAAAGAGACAGATGATGGTTCCACTGGTTCCTTTCATTATCCAAATGAATCAGACATGCCTTCCGACAATGAGGAGGATGTTGCTAGTGAAACTGAAGAGTTGGAGGCATCTACTTTGCTTGAAACAGAGTTGCTTGAGAGCATGACTGCTCCTATGGTGGATGGAGACAGCAAGCTTGTTCCTCCTTGTGACCTTTGGGCAACCATGAAGAATGTGCAGTACAATGAGATCCAATCATTCGTGAATCACTTTGCTTCTATGCATGGCCTTCAATTTGAATCTTTTTCCAACCCAAATAGTGGTTGGATCAAAGCTTGTTTGGAAGCATGGGGCATGTATGATGAAAACTCTATGGGCAATGACTGGAAGGCTGCTGTAAAAACCTGGCTCCATACAATCCACCAACAATCTTTCCCAGCATATCTGAGTGCCTTCTATGAACTATTGACTGCTCAAGTTTTGAAGGATAAGAAGGGCCAGGAAGTTATGAGAGAGAAATTGGATCGATTCTTCTCTCATTTCATTCTAGAGCCACGTTTTGATTTGGATCCTGTGGTATGGAGTAAAGTGGGAGTGGCAATTCAAGGTGAGCTCAGTCCCCTATTTGTGCCCCAGGACAATAATGAACACAAGAAGATGAAGGAGAAGAAAGGGGTTCTGAGGAGAAAAAGGAAGGGTAGCTCCATCATTTGAACAAACATTGACTCTAATAGGAGTCCATGGTTATGATCTAAGCTATAGGAACTCAAGAATACTAGAAGTTCCAGTTAAACATTGACTCTAATAGAGTCCATGGTTATGATCTAAGCTATAGGAACTCAAGAATACTAGAAGTTCCAGTTGACTCTCTGGTTCCAGATTGGGTGCTACAAGACCCAGGATCATTATCTAGACACGAGCTAGCTGGAGGATGCATGGGTCGTAATTTTGAGTTTCCAGTTCCAATTTTCATGATTTCATGTTCCAAACCAAAGTGTTAAAACAAAATAAAAGTTGATGGGACACTAAATTGAAATGACGTCGTTGATTGGAAGATCTTTTTGTGCTGACGATGTTCAGAAGAGAGCTCTGACCAGGCAGCAGATCGAGAGCCAACCAGGTAGCACAGATGGTCATCTTTCAGGTCACCAACGCTTCTGGGTACCATTTGCTGTAGCTTTCTACATGTTAGCTACATCCAACCAAGTGGCCTCAAGTTGCCGAGTGGCCAAAATTTGGTGAATCACAATGCCAACAACAAGAGCTGGCAAATCCGCTTCAAGCCAAGGATTGGCAAAGACACCAAGAAAGGGTAAGAAACAGGAAACAGTAGGGACACCAAACGGTAGTGTGGCAAGCAGCACTACAACAGGGAGTCGTCCTGGGTTGCCAAGTTATCTCAAGAAAAACTCTGGCAAAGGAGTTCCAACGACGACTCGGAGGAGGAATTGGGCTGGACGACGATAGCCACGAGCTTGGAGGTCATCCTCTTCGAAAGTTCTTAGATACAAGTAAGAACGCAGCTCACTACGGAAAATCTGGGGAACCCATTCGAAGGAGAATTATCAACAAAGTTAACAAGTGGAAGAAGCTATCCCCTGACGAGTGGAATAGTCGTGTCTTGCTCAAATACAACATTCCCTTGGAAGCAGGATCATCTTCATCTGAGGACGACGAAGTGAGCTCATTGGAGGATTCTGTTGTTGAAGAGGAAGAGGAACAGGAATTGCACATTCCCAAAGAGATTTCTACGAAAGAGGACCCCAAGAAAGCTACTGCAATACACGGCTCTTAGCCTTATTCGCGACTTGATCCTAGATAGGGTTTGAGTTCGACTCATGACCGAGTCTCTCGTGAATAGTCATTTGAGACAGGGTTCTCAATGACCGCGCTAGTCATACTAGGTTGATGATGAAACATCGCTCTAGATATTTAGCCAGCGTGGAGTACTTCCACGCTACTACTAGATCCAGGCTAGACAAACCTTCCACGCGTTCCGTTTTAGGATCGTGGAGAGACGTAGGATTACTACCGCAACCTACTCTATCACACTTTATAGTCTCCCGCGGGAAGCCAGATCTACGATCCTTTGATGATGATCTCTCTCGTTGATTAGTTTTCATAGCTTTCTAATCTCTCTTATAACTTTCATTCTCTCAAACTCAAAACACTCGAAAGATCTTTACACTAGCTTTTAGCGTAGTGCATTTTGTTAACAAACACAATAGCTTTCGGCTACCCTCAACCTATTCCTTCACCATGAAGATGGCTCAAGGAAAGCATGCGTTCCGCAACTTCGAAAAACAGTTGCGTGACAAACCCATTCTTCCTCTCGTCGACAACGACGACAAAAACGAGATCGACGATACTCGT